CGAATCCTACTACGTCTGCACGCGTCTGCCGCTGATCGCAAGCTAGCCTAACGCGCAGGATAGCGAGCGCCAGGCAGCTCGGCCACCAAACGGCATTTTCGATTACTGAGGATCCGCTAAGTTACAATATCCCGCTATTGAATATTCTGGTACTTTGAAGTACAAAGCCATGTTAAATTCTAACAGTCATCTTGACGTGTCACTCTCAAAGCATACAAATGTTGACTCGTGGCGCGACAAAACGTATACCGACTGAGTGAGAAGATCTCGTCTTGGAGACTAAACATGGACAAACGATTGTGGTGGTAAATTGACGTTGACGAGTGCAAGCTAGAGACAACCAAACGCTAGTAGAGACCGTCGTTTCAAGGTGAAACTTGTATAGGATCTGACCTTTAGATGAGATCATAGGATCAACACCAAAATTTCATATTTAGACAATTCAAAAAATTCTGATTTTTTTGATAACATACCTGCAAGGTACGTTTACAAATAAAAAAAATCAGCTTCAAACTCAGTCTACAGTAAGAGATTCAAAAAAGATAAATTCGACTATGATATCTAGAGATATCCTAAAGCTAGATCTCATACAAGTCTCCCCGGTTTCAATTGGTCTTTCCTCTGGTATCTTGTTTGTTGTGCATTACTAGTTCACTGCATCCAAGGACAATATGAAAGCTGCAGCGCAGAACGGTCTCCCGAATAGGCTAGGGGTCTGTTTGGTTGGAGACTAGTGTGGCCGAGCCAAAGTGTGGCTAGCCACACAAGTATGGCAAGCCACACAAGTGTGGCTAAGAAATTGGACGCCAAACTTTGGCAGAAGTTGGCAAAAAAATTGTCTCTTTGACAAGTGGGCCATAGGGACAATAAAGTGTGGCAAGCTAAAGTGTGGCAAAAACCAAACACATGCTTGGCAAACTGTGGTTGCCAAACTTTGGCTTGACAAACTGTGGCTGGGAACCAAACAGCCCCTAGGTTACCTGTGACTGAGACGGATCTACGTTTACATATAGGATCACTCTTATTGTTACCATCTGTCGTAGCTTCACGTTAAAAGCAAAAGGTTAATATTGATTTTCTAAAGAGAAAGTGTACTTTTAATTGATGGGGGGTTTTGGCTCCCGTGCTAAGATGAGCCAGAGAGTGAACAGTAAAACCGCAGAAAATACTAGAAATTTTAAAAAATCCCAAAAAGAAATTGTGGTGGAAGATGTGTGAGTTCACGATGTCCGTGCAAAAATTCAGCGCATTTGAATATCTGACAAGCTCTAAGCAAAGCAGACAAACTTGGGGTCTATGGAAAAAAAATACTATTTTGCTGTTCGGAGCTGATTTTTTTTGGCTGAGAGCTACTCAGATGTCCGAATGAGCTGCAACTTGGCACGTACATCACGCACTCAAGCATCTTTCTCCACAATTTTTTTTGGATTTTTTCTAAAAAAATTCTACTATTTTATTTGAATTTACCGTTCACATGGTGTAGATGAGCCCGGGAACCGAATTGGATATTCAACTTTTAGTCCCTAAACTTGAAAACTGAAAAAGTTGTAGTTCCATCTCTTGAAATCGGACAAGTTCAGTCCCTTATGTCGGCTGACCCGGTTACTTCTACCCCACAAATTTAGATCAATCCTATCTAATTAAGCTTTTTGGTTTTGGGAGTAATATTCACTACATAAGAGCATCTCTAGCCCCTCAAACGACCCCTCAAACCATAACTCCTTACGTTTTGAAGAGTTAAATAAAACTGTTCCTAGCCAAACTCTTAACTCAACTCCCTAAAACATGTTTCACTCTAATTTATTTCAAACATATATTGAAACTACTCGATTGAAACAAAAATTTAAACAATGATGGGAAAATTCGATACATTGTATAACATCAACATAAACTACTCGATTCGAACTTAAACTAAATAGAACTAATCTTCTTTGGCCAGGATTTGCTCCCTATCCACGTCGCCTACCTGGAGCCTCCGAATCAGAGTCACTCAATAAAAGATCGATCACTACCGTTCCATCCTCATCGTCGAGCCCCCACCGGACAGTCTAGCTTCATTGGTGATATTCTTGTAGAGCTCGTAGACTCCGAGCTCCTCAATGATGAGCACCAGATGATTTGCTTGGAGATCAGACATATATGCCTCATCGGTGCGTGCGGCCTAGATCTGCTCAAAGGCCTCCTGATTCTCGGGGATCGACTGTGATGAATTACGAGACAACGCCACTGCTGAGAGGAAAATTTGTCTCCTTCCGGCTGCCATGGAGGCGGACCGTCACCACATCATAAGTGTGAAGCACCTACTTTGCTGACTAGGGACAGCCAATCCAGTGCCGCTTCCTCGTGTCCCAATCGTTAATCTATGATACCCACGTCCCCCACGGGGGCACGGCGTGGTACTTCTTCTTCTTCAGTTGTAGCGGCAGGTCAAACATGTATCTCGAGCTTCGTACGCTGATGCGTGCTAAGGTGGCTCCGCGGGTCCGTTGTGAACACAGTGCCGATCCGTCGGTGGCGACTTCTAATTGTCGGATCCGACCATTTGGGGCAACCGGGGGCAGTGGCTGATTGGAAGAGGGCTGGAGGGAGACGGGGTCTGCGGCGCGGGCGGCGGTGCCAAAGAGGGCAGTGGGGTGGCTTTGGGCGGCAGCGGCGTCGCTGCGCTATGAGCATGAGGAGGGGCATCATGGGGGAAATGGCCAACATTATCCCGAGACTTGGTTGCGCCACTCAAGTATAAGCATCACTGCATCACCCGACACATTGCTTCATTTTTTTCAGGAGTTAAACTGAATAAAGGTTCGGCTAAGTCTGGTTTAACTCTGAAAAATTTAAGGACTTATATGGTTTTCATAGATCGTTAGAGACACTCAAACTATACTTCAGTAGTTACTTCATTCACGCAAACCTCCACATGAACGGGCGTATTTGGGATGTAATTGCTACAGATTACAACTTAAGGTTTTGACGATGAATAAACCTTGAATACAACTTGTGCATTTGTTATTTTTAAACGGAAGGCATCTAGCCCAGCTTCATAAAATAAAGCAATCATCCATAACAATGTTCTAAATGCACACCACAAACATTGGGAGATCCTGCTGGCAACCCTATCCTAAGTCAGCTGCGGCCTCCACCCCTCTTCATACTTTTATTTTTCAAAAATTCTTCTTGTCTATTAATAAGATATAATAGTGGTACACAGATACACATACGTAAAAAAATATATAACAAGGTGGATAGACCACCTACCGACTACAAGAACTGTAACAAGCCGAAGGTGCGTCATCATCATCTCTCCTCCCTCACCGGGCCAGGCAAACCTTATTGTAGTTGATAGTCAGGAAGTCATTATACTAAGATCCCAAACATCATGCATACTAGAGCAGCAACCGTCACCGATGAAGAAAAACATAGATCAGAAGGATTGTACAAACGCACCAACAACCATTAGCTTCAGATAAATCCAAATAGATATGTGGGAGACAAACATCTTCTGAATCTTAAAGATCCGCCGAAGACCAAAAAGGACTAGACCCAAGAAGACTCGCAAGAGAAACATCCCTACGTGCCCTCGGCGGGCCTAGACGCAACGCCAAAATGGGGATATGGTGGGGAGGACATTATTATGACTCTAGGATGTCATCGCCCCGACGAGGACACCGAGGGACCTAGCACTACATTCATGGCCGAAGCACCAACGACTTTATAACCCTAACTATGGGGAAG